TCATCACCCAGTATACCTGCAATGGTAGTGATAATGCTGAAAATGAACCCATTAGAGTTCATAAAGCTTATTATGACGACTTGATTTAATTCGCCACCATTCATTAGCATCGATGGCGAAAGATCGTCAGGGCACAACACTTCGTTCTGTTCGTACCGAACCATGTCGATGATGGGTCCTGTTACAAAGGACAAAACGACCATCTAGTGTTTTCCCGGTACAAAAGACTGTCTGACTGCAAGTTAACAGCGCAAAACTTACTTTGTTAAAAAAAGAAACCAAAAATTTGAAAAAGGGCGCCAACCCGTAGAGGGAGCGCGCCGTTGCTACTGTGAATGTATACAGGCTTGTTTACACAACAAAATGTCATTTGTTGCGTTTCGCTCTGAACAATAGTTGGATTGCCCTCAGTAGCCGCAGCGCGCTCTCTGCCGCTTAGCGCACTGCTTCAAGAGTGCGGTTTCTTTCTAACGGCGGTAGTATGCTATTATCATTTTGAACTAGAAGTTTTCAAACCAAACTGGAAGTTCCTCAAATCAAACTGGATACTTTTATCTTCTGAGTCGGAAATTTATCGGCGAGGAAGAAAATAAATAAGTTGAAGAGTCCGTTGATAAGGTTATCCCGCTGCTACTTCTGTCAAGTTCATCATCATATTGAGGATTCAATTCGTGTAATCCTGCTGCGTTACCATTTCATCGCTCTGTTGAATGACCATGCCTCGCGTTTGGTCGGGCGTCGGGTTGATAAACACGCGCCTCACCGACACTTCCGCCTTCAAAAACACGTTTTCTACCGGGTTTAGCATATAGCAGTAAGGTGACGGAAACTCCTGCTGATAAGACGAATCCAGGATTCATCTTCGATCGTCCGGCATGTGGCGCTTTCATTTGTTAGACGTACTATTCGCTGAGCTGCTCCCATGCGCTGTTCATCCACCCTGCAGCGTATACGAACAACAAGCTCTTCGATGAACAGTGAGAACTTTGCACTATTGCAAGCCCCATGGTCGGTGATCTTTGTATGAATCATGACTGTTATTCATCGCCAAAGTAAGCGTCACTATGAGGCTTCCAACCGTGGGCAGGATGATGTTCGCGCGCGTCCCTCTTCTTGAGCGATCCTGCGTCCGCCGTGGATGGAGGTTGAATCTACCCTCGGGAATCTGAGTTTCTAATGGTCACGCAGCTGCATGGGTTCATACACATACACACACACACACAACACACAGACAGACAGACATAACACATGAAGGCTGGTTGGAAGACAGAGAACAACCGGATCACCACCTTTGATAGAGATAAACGACGCTCATGATCAGGAGGTCTTGCACTTGCGCCCCTGTTCGTCCAATTCGAGTTGCGTTGGCCTAAACATAGTGTGAGTTGAACATCATTGTCGTCCTACCTTAGTTGATAAAGCCCACAAGAAATGTGACACAGATAATGGTGATGAACCAGCACTAGCAGGACTGTGCGGTCATTCAAGAGAGCGTCGGAATGTTAACGCAGTAATGTATGTGGTGGTAAACTTGACAAAGGTAGTATCTGAACAGTCTCTTATCAACAGTAGAATTTTCTTCCTTGCTAATAAATTGCATTAAGCGAAAAACAAGCAGTGTCCACTTTGATTTTTTAAAAAGCCGTTTAAAGTGAAAACGGTGCAAATTACATCGAGTGGGTTCTACTTCACCAGATAACAATTCGAATACACCGATTTGGCTAATAGCTCTTGAAAGTGCTTGGTCTGACGTTCCAGTCGATGCGACTGAGAGTGAAGCAGATGCCCAGCTTTTTATTTAATGTCTCAAACACATTATATTATATTATTCAACACCTGAAAAATATACAATTGGCCGTGCCACAACACATAGTTAACAACAACAAAAAATAAAGGGGAAAGCGGATAGACAGTGAAAATGTTTGGAAGATTTACAAGGTTAATGTGTTGTGCGGACAGAGATCTTCCCGGTTGCCCAGGCTGAGGAAGAGGGTTGACTTAAGGGACCCCACCCCGAGCCTCTGGTCATAAAGACCTGACCCGCAAGGCAGCGGGACGATTAACGGAGACCGTTGACATTCGTGTAGCTCATTCGCCTTCTATGTGTTCAGTAACAGTCCACAGAGAAGCCGGTGGCCAACAAGGTTGTTCATCAGCCCTCCGTTAGGCACTCACCTGTTTACAGAAGTGAATGGTCAGTGACCCTATAGCCGGTCACATTGGCTTTGATACAGCGCCGTACGAGCTCTTGTGGTATTTGATGGAGAACCAGCTCAGAACTCCCCACGCTCTGAGACACTGCCGTTGATGGTGCGCGACTGCCTATTCATCTCGTCTGCAAAGCAAAATATACTTGTTCGCAGTTACCTCCAAAAGGAAGTCATTCCTCGATCCGCAACCTGGGGATGCGCCCGATAGCGTACAGTTCCGCCACGGGCTTAATCACATTAGTGTTTGTTGGACCCAGTGCAGAAGTAAAATTGAACAAAGTAGTGGCTTCACTGGCGCCAATCTTCTCCGCTTCGCGGCCCACTAACACCACCGACCGATACACAGACTCGAGCCAAAGGACACTTGTGGTATGGAAACTTTGAGGCTGACATTCCGATGGGATCACCTTATGCGTATTAGTCAGGTTAATCTAGGTTCACGAAAACCACTAAGCTGGGAGGATATGCGACCTTGTGTGCTACTTGGCGGCGATTCCAACCCGCATTCAGTTTGTCCACCCTGTCTATAGTAATGCTTGATACTCCAATTCAGGCTGATATTACCGCTTGGCGGGTTGCAAGTACCTTCGAATCCGATCACACCGCTGCCGCCTAAAAAATGATTGTTAGGTAATCACGCAAGTGGGCGTGGTGGAATCAAAGCAAGTTTTCCAGACGAAACGACCAGCTTACACTTAAGTACGCCATCTATGGCTGAGGATGATAATCATAGTTGGGTGTTGAGTGCCCACAGCAATTGTCGTTTATATCGGCCACCTAATCCGGTGGGACTGCATGTGCCGGAGAGTTGTGGTGCTGACATAGAAATCGTGCTCAGCGCGTAGATGTAGGAGGTGACCACCGTTGTCAGCACGAAGGTATTACCCCGAAACAGCAGCTGATATTATGTGCCGACTCAAACAGCCGACTAATTGGAGTATCCAAGTCGCCCCCAGCAATTACAAGAAACATACTTCCTGGTCATTCGTCTTTGAGAACTTCTTGGCGGTGGATGACGACTGAAAAGACTAGAGACAATTTTCTTTCGGTCGCTGCTTATTGGCTCAAATTGGACTTGGAGTTAAATAACACGCACGCTAAGATCCGTCTCTGAAAAAGCTCCCGCAAATCAGACATCGTAAGTAATACAGTCCATAGATTCGGCATCCCCTGAGATGAGGTGTGGGCCTAAACACTGGAACCCGAGTATGGTTAGCAAATGCATTGAGGTGCCGTTGCCTCGTGCGTGTAATTCAGGGAGTAACATGCTGACCGTCCTAACACAACATGCGTATGTTGAAAAATCATAATCATCATCAATACCTCCACTAATGTGTCCTAATACAAAAAGGTAAGATACCAAAAATTACAGACTACGAAAACTTCAACAACAAAGAGTAAGATAATATAATAATAGTATGATATAATGCCATACTATGCATTGGGGATGAGATTGCAGTCGGAGGAAAAATCTAAAGGAGAGGGGATGTAAAAAGTAGCTCACGACACAAACGCCAATGGGGTCGGCTCATAGCCATGTCAACTAATGTATCCAAACAAACGTGTTCACCGCCTTTCGAGCCCCAACATGCAGTCGGGGCACACCAACCGACGCTAAGGTCGTAGTGAGGGTATTATTCCTCTCGACCAAGTCATCGCTTGTCCTCTCATGTGCATTATCCATCCACACCCTGGGCGCGCAAACAACGCACGACGCTAGAGTTAGTGTGCTGGTACACGCAAAACGTGGCCAACCATCGGAGCCTGGTGCCTGACATATTGGTGCTGAGCGGTTCAGTCGCTCTTCCTGCACCAAATATGCGACGCCAAACACGCTAATTACTCAGGCGGTTTACCCACCATACAGGAGCTAAGCTGAAAATGCAGCGATGGTAGAACGTAGCCAGGTTTCACAACCGTACAGAAGGGTTGGATGGACGGCTGCATTGTAAACCCTGCTCTGCAGGACGAGATTGATGTTGTGTCGATGCCAAAAATCGTGGAATGGTGTCTTAGGTTTGAAAGATAACGCGGTTTCCCCTTGATTTGAATTAGGAAGTCAATAATGATCTCTTGTTTATTAACACCACAGGATTAGCGATAGAGAGGCAAAACAGAGGTATGTTAGTTAGTCTTGTAAGATGATACACTCCGGTTGTCCATTCCCGGGGAGAATTTTGTTCGAGGTCGCAGCAGCAGTCTGACCCACAAGGCAGTGAGTTAGATGGAGGGTTTTCTGAGGGACCGCACAAGGAGTATTTGACTCAACAATGCCATATAAAGTAATGAGCAGGAAGTTTAGCCCTACATCATGATTACAAACCTAGAGATGTCTTCTTGAGGATGGTCACACAACTGTCAAAGATCCAGGATAACTCCGATGCGATCCAACTGACCGGAGTGGCTGAGGTTTACTCCAATATAAGTCGTGGTTCGAAACGTGATTTTGTCGCAATTCAAACATAAAAACATCAGAAGTATGCCTGTACGTTACACCGACGCCTCGCTGTCACGCGGCCACCAGTGGCAGCCCCCTGGCGAACAGAGGGCACCGGAACTAGGCGCTAAATTAAAAATTATTCATCATCCTCTAAACAAATGCATTCGAGTCGGCACATCACACTATGCACAGTTTCTAGTGCCAATGAAACCAGATCGATGTAGAAACGAGTGTTAAAATGCGTAAAACGGTGACCACTCGATGTCTAAGCGGTCTCCGATAATAATGAGTTGTTACAGATGGTGACTGAGCGTACGAAGTGACTCGGTTAAAGAAGACTGGAAACTCACCAATAGCTCCATGAGTTCTTTTCGAAGCCTGTAAACCAATGATTAATCGACGTAGAAGCCAAAATGCAATTCTTACCGTTTCTGAACGTCCGTCATGCTGCAACCGCCACCTGAAAAAAACAACACGGCAAATGAGCTATGCGGAAAACTCACAGACTAATAATGAATACAATAAGCTGAAAATGGAGGTTACTCGTAAAGAAACCAGACAGAGATCGTTGTGCAGTGGTTCGAGTGTTTGGCCCATAGTTTCCGCCCCTGTGTGAATCCCCTGTAGTTTCCCAACTTGCGCACAATCGCTTGCGGTCGAATGACAGTAAAGCAGCAGTGCGGAGTACTAGAGGGATGCCTTTGATCCGTACTCTTCGACGCGACAGTAGACTGCGCTTTAAGAATCCAGAAGCTCTTGTCTGACATATATCTCTAACTGGGTCGGAAATAAGAAACGACTGTGCTAGGTAAGCAATGGGCAAACACATGAGAGAGCAGCTGATCACGTTTCACTACTCTACAAGAATGACATTAGTCCCTGTAAAAGCCCCTCCAGACTTAAGATTGGATGGAAGCGGGTCTTTAGTACAAAGTATTGATTCAGCTGGACTGAGTATTAAGATACTATTGCAATGTTGAAGTAACCACCTCGTCACACTTTAAGTTGGTCGAGCCACGTGCGGTTCGGAAAACACAAGCGGGAGGGAGTCAGCAGAGACACACAGAGGATAAAGATGTCCAAAATTAAAAGCTTTCGCAATAAAACACTAACCTAAAGACAACAGCCTTACCCACTTGGTGGTTCTGCTATGGATTAGAACTGGTAAGCAAGAACGACTGATCTTTTATCAATGGAAGACCGGAGTTGTTATACTATTCGTCTATTCATTGATACTGACAGCAAAGCGGTGCCGAACTATTATCACGAACAAACTTTCTTGAATTTTGACAATCACCCACAGTAGTTAAAAATAGCGCAAGGCTACCTATGTACGTGATTCGGTCAGCCATTTAAACTGATTGTGCAGTAATCCTGAAAACTGGAGACGCGTTAACCACTGCCAAAATTTCATTTTCAAGGGGGCGATTCGTGGTGTGTTGTTCAAAACAGATTAGAGCTTGCAAATAGATTGCGCATGGCCAAATATTGATGACAAATCGATCGTTGTAGGGGTGATGATGACTCCGAGCAAAACCACGTTCTGCAGTTACCAATGGAGTGGCAATATCGCACACAGGTCACTTGCCAACTGGCAGGTTTATCTGATAGGCCACTACCGTAAAAACATGATGAAACAAGCAATTAGAACTTATAACAAGTGAAGGAACCAGTGAAAATTTTAAACGTCCTAAGTAGAAACCAATGAACGTGGTATTACACTTTAACAGCGACACGCGGTTACAAACAGCGGGAGGTCGAGCGAAGATCGGACGGCAGTGACAAGATAACTTCCATGCGGTTTTTCCTGCCCCTCATCATAATCAGGTTATTCACACAGACAACTACGCATCAGACATGATAAACAACCAATCCGACTGGACGACAGCAGAAGTGTCACTGGTGCTGGCCACTAACTATGTCCTGGAGTCGAGCCAAGTAGGATCGATCGCGTGAATCTGGGCTTGGAAGGCGAGACTGATCAATGTCAAGTTTGGTCGTTACTGACTTTGTTCACCACTACCAAGCCAACTTTTGTGCCATCCTACAGCTGCACAACCAAATGAGGTCTTTTACGGTAAGCGGTGGCATACGTTACATGTGCCCAAACCAACGCTACCTATTCAGTGTTGTTGGCTGCTCTAAGGAATCGAGCTGATAATCACCACTTAGTACCCGTTTGCGCTTCTTGAGGTTGTGGACACACTGGTGTTATCCGATACCAGTAATGGCCACAAGCAACGATAATCAAAGAACTAAGATACACCAGACCCTTAGACCAAGGGAATAAAGTCTCCCTCTCAGAGAGGAGAACAAGCACTGCGGTCGTGCATACGCGGCCTTTCAGAAAGAGGAAGATACCATTATAGTGCCACATGTAGCGGATTTCCATCGTGACGAGACTGGACCTTAACGTGGTGCGATGGTCTGCGTGCCTCAGCGATCCATTGGGCTGTTGGGTGGTGTTTTTACACCAGAGCCACTCATACCAGACTGGTCAATGTTTAGAGGCATGACAAACTCAGGCTCCTTCCTCCCCATGTTGGGGGTTAAAGTAAGAATGGCTTCTTACTACTGAAAGCAGTTTCAATGCAGCCCAGTGCCAAAACCTCGCTGCCTTGCGGTCAAGTTTATGAGCTAAAGGCTTGGTTGAGAACCATAATCGTTTTCCGGTATAGGCCTTGGCAACCTGACAGTATTCTGCCCACGCAACACAATGAACCTTTCCTCACAATTTCTTGATGCCCTGGCCGTCGTAGAAAATAATAAACGGTGCCCTATCTGCTGCATCGAGCAGTGTAGATAGGGATTTAGATGCTATTACTCAAGCCTAACCATCTTCTTTTCCCCCTTGCGCGTTTCATCTTTATCGTCCCGTTCCAACCTCACTTTTATCACCTCTGTTTTCAATCCCCGATTCTTGGCCTTCCTCAATCTCGGTTCAGTAATCACTTATCCTCTAGTTTCGACGCAGACGCAATCGTTGGGCGTCGTTCCGGTCCAGCTGACAAGTCCAAGCCCAGCCAAAAGGATAACGCCAATTCATCTGCATCTATTTGGGGCCACCGATCCTTAAAACTGGCACGCTTCAATGTGAGCAAATTGTGGCAGATTGCCGAACAAGAAAAAATTGAAGAAGTTATGGGAACAGCATTCGCTGGACACGAGTTCCAAGGTGTAGAGCTGCTTTTTGGTGAGCGAATTCTTGACTTGGGGAATGCTGACGACACTGCCCCCATGTCTGACATCATCATCAATCATCATTATACACGTCAGCTAGAGGTGTAAAAAACAACTACTGTGTCGCAATAAAGAAAAAGGAAAAAAATACAACAGTTGCACGCCAGCTGAGCTACCAGTAACGGATAGGCATCGTTCCGGTAAACTACCAGCCAGCGACTAAGTAAGAAAAAAATATGTTCACCCTATGAAATGAGATTGTAGATGGAGGGGGAGGCTAAAAGGGATGAGGAGGGACAAAGAAACTCACATCAGGAACGCCAGTGAGGTCGGGTCCTTACCATGTCAGCAAGTGTATCCAGCCAAACGTGTTCACCGTCTTTTGGACCCCAACCAGGAAGCCGTGAAGCTCAAACCGAGGCCAGCTCCAAAGTGAGGGCCTTCATTCCTCTCTTGGACATCACTCCTCTTCTTCCAATCACATCCCCGGTGAGCAAACACACTTCGTGAAAGTCGGTGGGCTGGCGTGCGCAACACATGGCCGAGCCATCGAAGCCTAGTGCGTGAAATGACGGTGCTGAGCGGTTCAGATCCTTTTTCTGTGCCGTAAACAAGGCGTCGAACACGCACGTTACTCACGCGGTATTCCCACCAGATGTCAGCCAAACTGCGAAGGCACCGATGGTCGAACGTAACTAGCCTCTTCATGTCCGCCGATCTTAGGAACCAGGTTTCGCAACCGTACAGTAAGGTCGAACGTACCGCTGCATTGTACACTCTACCCTTCAGGACGAGAGTAATGTCGCGCCGCCGCCATAGGTGGCGAAGGTTAGCAAAAGCACTTCGAGCTTTTGCCATACGGTTTGTGATCTCGTCTTCGATCCCAAAGGCATCATCATCATCATTACACGTTAGCTGGAGGTGGAAAACACCTCAGCTATTGTGCCGCAATACAAGAGAAAAGAAAAAGACAAAGTGGCACGCCCGCTGAGTCCCCAGTAACGGATGGACATCGTTCCGGAGAGCTAACAGCTGGCTGCCGTAAAAGTCATATTATGCCTAACAAATGAGATCGTGATTGGAGGGGGATGCTAAACAGGAGGGGGGTGGACAAGGGAACTCACAACACAAACGCCATTAGGGCCGGCTCCAAGCCATATCAGCAAGTGTGTCCAACCAAACGTGTTCACCGTCCTTAGGACCCCAGCCAGGCAGTCGGGATGCACCAACCGACGCCAACTTCGAAGTGAGGGTTTTCATTTCTCTCGACCAAGTCACCACTTGGCCTCCAATCCTCCTCTTCCAACCGCACTCACAACGCGCAAACAATGCACGTCGCCGGAGTCAGTGTGCTGGCATGCGCAACACGTGGCCCAGCCATCGGAGCCTGGTGCGTGATATAATGGTGCTGAGCGGTTCACTCGCTCTTCCTGCACCAAATACGCGATGTCGAACACACTCAGTGCTCACGCGGTGTTCCCACCAGACATGAGCTAAGCTGCGAAGGCAGCGATGATCAAATGTGACGAGCCACTTCATGTGTGTCGACCTGATGGGCCAGGTTTCACAGCCATATAGGACAGTTGAACGGACGGCTGCGTTGTAAACTCTGCCCTTGAGGGCGAGAGTAATGTCGCGTCTGCGCCACAGGTGGCGGAGATTGGCAAAAGCACCTCGAGCTTTTGCTATACGGTTCGTAAGTTCATCTTCAATCCCACGGGTGCTAATATAGCTGCCCAGGTAATTGAATTTTTGAACGACTTCTAGCTTGTGCCCACTAAGGGTCAGCACAGGGGGCGATCCCTGCCAATCTTGGAGGAACGCTTTGCACTTCGATGGTGCAAAGCAAAGCCCGAAGCGGCTGACAGCCAGTGCTAATCTGTCCAGCGCGACTTGGCACGTCTGGGAGCTGTCACGGATGAGGGCAATGTCGTCTGCATACTCCAAGTCAAGAAGTCGTTCTCCTGGGAGTAGCTCCACACCTTCCAAGTCATGTCCTGTAAATGCAATCTCCATGACTTCGTCAATAGCGAAGCTGAAGAGGAAAGGTGACAGCGGGCATCCTTGTCTCACATCGCTGGAGATATTGAAGGGTAGCGAGAGTTTGTCATAAACCCTCACCCTGCCCGAACTATGTGCGTACAGCGCTTTGATAATATTTACATATTTATCAGGCACACCTTTCCTCAACAGACAGTCCCAGAGGGCACATCGATCGACTGAGTCGAAGGCACCTTTTATGTCAAGAAACACGACGACGGTGGGTCGCCAATAAACATG